GAAATTTGCGTTGGCAACCGCCCGTCGCGTTTGTCTCATCGGATGTCCAGAATGCGACTTCCTTGAGTCCATCGTGCATTCAACAGTTTCCCTCGAGCGGACAAGGAACTGAGGAGAGGCCTGACCGTCGGAATCCAATACCCCAGGACGAGGACTGCCTCTTTCTGTAACTAAAAGTCATTAGAGTGTCTCGAAAAATACCGTTTAACCTTGCCTGTAGGAACGTTTGGGCCCCTGCACCTATGTCGAGTCCTTCGAAGGCCGTCATTATCTGGATCTACGGCGGGTGAGAATGCTCATTTACTCCTGTTCAGGCCGTCTTGCTTAACCTTGCAACGTAGAGGGTTTGTGACAGGCACAGCTTCAATTCCAGTGTACGATGGCACGTCCTTCGCGAAGAATCAAGATGTCGTCTTTGTATCCTTTAACTACCGTACGAACGTGTTCGGCTTCCCAACGGCATCGGATCTCCCTTCCTCGGGTAACAACCTCGGATTCCTTGACCAGGAACTGGTGCTCGCCTGGGTGCAAGATAACATTGCCCAGTTTGGAGGAGACAAGTGTAAGGTGACGATCATGGTGAGTGCGGTCCCACGAGATGGGTGCCAATTAGACCTTCATATTTCTGTACTGGTAGGGCGAGTCTGCTGGATCTGGGTCCGTCTCACTCGCTGTCACTCGCCGGAATTCGTCTGTAAAACCACCATTCCGTGCGGCAATCATGATGTCCGGTCTGGAGGTTTCCACAACTCCCAAACTCAACTTTTCGAATTTCGACGCACTCGCAACGGCGATGGGGTGCACACAGCCACCAGGCGCACAGCGGCTGGAGTGCATGCGCAGTGTCCCTGCCCCCACCATACGTACATTCACAAGTGGGCCGGACGGGGTTGGTTTTACTCCGGGAGTCGACAAGTACGTGGTCGCATCCGGCCAGCGAGGGAGCTCTGATTCTTATTTCACAACCCTTTGGGGTTTGGTAGCGTGACAGGCTTCGACGACCCACTGCAACGTATTCGCACGGGCCAGATCGCGCGCGTTCCCATCCTACTTGGAAGTACGGAAGACGACGGCACATTATTTGTACTGGATGCACCCCAGAACCTCCCCGATTTTATCAAGGCGACGTTCGGCGCACTCGCAAGTCGCTTGTCCCCCGATGTCGTACGGGCGCAGTACCCCGGGTTGAGTGATCCACAGGTGATCGCTGCCATCGCACGTGATGTCAGATTCCGTTGGTACGTTCGTCGCTTGATCTCGGTGGGATAAGGCCACCATCTAACGGACGGGTTGCCGGAACAGCCCAGCGAAACTCTGGAGCGACGCGTTCGTCGCCAGCGGGATTACAAGTGTCTATCGGTACACATACGGTACGTCCTACAAAGCTTAAAACTCGCCTTCGACAGTCAGCATATCCATTCGCGCATGTTTATCCAGGTCCGGTCTTCGCCGACTTGTTACTATTCCCCAACGCCGGCGCATTCCATGGTTCAGAAGGTCAGTCGTCTCGTTCTGCCGCCCTTACAGTCCGGTCCCCCATCTGTGTTTTGTTATGCGGAACTCACGGCCTTTTTGCAGTGCCCATTGTCTTTGGAACGTTCAACAGATCGACGGCCACAGCAGCAGAGGTCGAGCTGTCTTACAGCCTGCAGACCGCATTTGCAAATTTCGCCAAAGACCCAGTTGACACGCCCCCCGCGCCGAATTGGCCCTCTTACAGTCCTGGCTTGCCTGGGGGTGCTCAAGTTCCCTCAGTCGCGAAAATCGCGTACCACGGGAATGTGGGCCTTGACGATTTCGTGGAGCCCGTTCAACCTAATTCCATTGTGAGCGCTCTGAATCTCTTTCGAGTAAACATACACATATTCATCACTGAGCGTCTCATTGTTTCTTGAACAGGATGCGCCGTGCGCCGTGTGGGACCAGTTCCTCGATTTCCGACCCTAAACAAGTCCCCAAAGTTCGCCGAAGATGACGTGAGGACTTTCGTGGTGGCAGCCATATAATGTGAACTCCTTCATATTGCCGTGATGAAAGACTTCATAGATGAACTTGTTACGAGCTACGAGTCACTACGGAATCACTCGGGCAACGCTGGTGTGGTGCGAGTCTGAGTTTTGATATAAGGCGGGCACTCGAGTTGCCCTCGCAATGGTCTCAACACACCGGAGCGCCCGGCGGGATGTGTCCCGGTTGATTTACGTAGAAGAACACAAAGAGAGACGAGAATAACGGAGGGAACACTGTCGGGGAGACTACTCCTCCCGCTTCATTGACAACACACTTGAACATACTTTATTCTCCAGAGAGATTGTCAGAATAAGCATACAATGGTGGCAGGGTCAATTGCCCTGAATCACATACACAAAATACAGTCATACAACACCTCGAGCGATTCCCATCTTATCCACCTCAGGCAATCGAAACCGTCGTCTGACCAGTATTAGTCTTCAGGGGTACAACCCCCGTCGCGGGTGCAACGGCGAGCGGCAGCGCAGTTGGCGCGCTGATCGCCTTAGCGATGGCATCTGAGAGACCCTGATCTACCGCAGCGAACACGGACACTATAATAGGGTCAAGCGCTGTCCTGAAAACATTAGATGCGATGACGAGTACGTACGCTGAGACGCTTTGATCTCCGCTGACTTGACGTTGCCCAGATGGTCAGCAATATTGCGGACGAGGTGTTCACGGTCCGCGTCGCTCATGACCTTCCTATACAGATTGCGTGGCTGCTCGAAATCAACTGCGATAGGTAAGTCGCATCAGAGCCAAGGCGTCTCATGAGCGATGAGGTGCTCACGTTCACTAATCTCATATAAATAAGCGCGGGCATGGCCAGCCCAAACTTCGTGCTTGTGCTCCGTGTTTGCATATGGCTTGGGACGGAAAGTCAGAGGCGAGATGGTGCTCTGGTAGTTGGGGCGAGCGCCTTGGCTAACGAACGTCGCGGGCCCATCACGCTGGAAGTTCGCTGGAGGTGCAACAGGAGCGTTGACTGGGAGCTGCTGATAATTGACGCCGAGACGGTGGCGGTGAGTGTCGGGGTATGAGAAGAGCCGACTTTGTAGGACTGGGTCGGTACTTGGCTCAATGCCGGGCACGGTGTGGGATGGAGAAAATGCAGACTGCTCAATCTCTGCAAAGTAATTCTGGGGGTTCTCATTCAATACGATCTTGCCGACGGGGCGGAGAGGGTATTCGTCATGCGGCCACACTTTGGTCAAGTCCAGGACATTGTAACGGAATTTCTCCGCCTGTTGAGGTGTCATCGTTTGCTAAGACAGAAACAACTGAGCTACAGCTCGAAGAGACAAACGCGATATTAAAGGTTTTACCACGTAGACGGTCCATGATGGATGTTGCTTATTCTCAATGGCCTCGAACAGTGCTTGGATGCCATAGTCTGGGTTCTCCCCCGCAAGCTTACTGGCTTTTGTAGTGTCAAGAGTCTATACGTGCACGGTCAGGTGTTCGTTCTGTTCCGGGTCGCGAACCGGCTCGAGAATACCTTGAATCCTCCATCCGCGCGAACGTGGATCTGAACATAAACCCACTCTCCATCATCGCGCACAAACTTGTAAGTATGACCAGAGTAACCGTGCATGTTGTGGTAGCCATCCGGGGTGCCACGGTCGGAGAAGAGGATCAGGACCTGATGAATGCTTTCAGGGTTCTGGGAAAGATAGTCCTGATGACAGCGAAGTGAGTACTCGTGTCTGGAATATACGCGGCTTTGTTGCCTGCTGGTGGTGAAACCGGACTGTAAAAATGCTCAACTCACCCAGAACATGTCAGGATCCTTCAGGTGCGTTTGAGGGTCGCGCTTCTGGGTGTGGATGAAATGAGGGAACTTGGCGGGGTCACGAAGAAAGAAGACGGGAGTATTGTTGAAGACCCAATCAAGATTGCCTTCATCAGTGCGAATCTTGATAGCAAACCCACGAGGATCACGGGCGGTATCCGCCGAGCCCGACTCGCCGCCAACGGTGGAGAAACGAACGGTAGTGCGGGCCTTGTTTCCAACTGTTTTGAAGAGAGAGGCCGAAGTGAGGTCGGTGATGTCGTGGGTTACCTCAAAGTAGCCGTGCGCGCCAGCACCCTTAGCATGGACCTAAGGAACTCAAGATTAAAAACGGTACAGGGATGGGTTCAAGGAACCATGGCACAGACGACACGCTCGGGAATACGCTCACGATCGAAGTGAGCGAGTAGGTCGATGTGATGGAAATCTGGGGATGGGGTGAGCGGACGAGGATAGCCAGCTCAGTGACGGACGGCCAATGGCACGGACCTTGGAGGAGAAGAGGCCCATGAAGGCCAACCTTCTCGGCAGCATAGGGGCGAGCAACAGGTGCGCCGTTGGAGGTAGTGTACACCTGGTTGTCGTCGTTGGTAACCTGCTTGGAAGGCATCGTTTGATGAAAAGAGAAGGGAAAGAGACGTACGGGGACAGTGGAGAGTGGAGGGTATTATATAGGCCGGGCTGGGTCAGGTGAATTTGACCCGACCCGACCGGTCCCAGGATCTGGTCTCAAGTCAAGTGCGGTCGCTCTGTGCCCTCCCTTCCACGTTGTTTTCTTTTCTGAGGAGACTGTGAGCCGAAATGACATGCATATATCAATGGAACTGGCCTCTTTCCGCAACACCGCATCAGACCACTCACATGTATGCGCCTGAGAACATCCATCCGATCCACGCCACGCGACGAATGTGGTCTGTCTTAGCAATCGAAGTTGGTCATGGGAACGGCTTCCATCGAAACTGTCCATGCGCTTCCGGGTTTAGACCCGAGAATGCAAAAAGGCGCCTTCGATGACGCGATGACGTTTCAGGCCCACATACGCTTTCTATAAGGAGAACATGACTCAGTTCAGCTGACTGATTGCGTGACTGAGCTTCAACTGCTTCTGTGGTGTGGCGCGGGACAAATCACAAATTCCTTCCCTCTAATTGGTAAAACATTCGGTTTTGGTGAATGCCAGAGGAAAAATCAAAAACTCCCTGGCGGGGAGTCGAACCCCGCTCTCGCGCGGCCAATTTAGAATGACAGGCGCGTGTACTAATCCGATATACTACCAGGGATTGGGTATCGTCGACAGAAGGAGCTACATGAACGTTCGCCTCCTGTCCTCAAGTTCAGTTGCTGGCTTCGGCATTCAACCTACCTACCCATGCAATGCTACTCTCTGCGGATACCATAACTGTGCACGGTTCTCGTTGTGGGCGGGTTTGACACGCGGGTCCTCTCACTAGGCTGTGCCGAAACATGAAGCATTGAAATCGCGAAGGGTGACTAGCCCTCGTGCCCTTTGAGGTCACGCGAATCTCCTTGCTGCACAGTCACCCACGTACAATGAATCCTTTGCGGGACCGAAGTGTGGAGATCTCTTCTACTTCTCGACCCCTGGACGTACCTTTGGGGTATCCACTTGACCAAACTCGAGTCCGCCTCTTGACAGGCTTGCATGCGACTCGGCTTCTGCTTCGTTTCATCCACATCGGTTCGTCTCCGCATGGATCTGGGACTGGTATACCCCCACGCCTGTCCGCACCTTCTCCCCCGGGGCTGCACACTGCCACGGGATACCCGAGCACCCGATGAGGAGCTTACCCTCGTGTCCAGCAGTTTTCAAGACAGTTTGTCATCCCTGTCTTGCTGTGCCGCTTGACAGGAGGGGGGCACATGAATCGTGCCATGACTCTAGATAAGAATCGCGCTACAAGGCAGACAACGACGTCGTGCTTTCTCCTTTCTCTTGTCAATGAAGCAGAACCCGCTCCTTGTCTACACCTTTGTCGTCGTGTCTGTCTCCCTCACCCTTGGCATCTCGGCTGCGGTGGCGCAAGGTGACCCACCCATTTACCCAGAATCTCTGGACAAATTCGCAACAAACGTACATGTAGAACGACGTGCTGTGCAGAACCGTGCCAATGGAAAGGTACAGGCTGCCTATTTCAGTAATTGGTACGTCCTGTGCTGTCCTAAGCATCCCCACTCCGGCCATTGACTGATTGAAGGGGAATTTATGGCGCTGATTTCCGTGCGTGGACCCTCCCTTTCCTCATCATCGACAAGGAGATCTTAGGCTACCGTTTCGAAGAACCTACTGATATCACCCCCTCCAGTCTCACACATATTATATATGCTTTTGCGGATGTAGACCCGAGTAGCGGTTCAATCTTTCTCACCGATCCCTATGCGGATGAACAGGTAAGGCATTCCTCCGAAAAACGATTTGCCATTTCTGAATAGTTTCAAGAAACAATTTCCTGGTGATTCTCAGGAAGAACAGGGAAATAATCTTTATGGTTGCTTGAAGCAGGCATGGTCCCTTTCATCTCCTTGGTTCTCTCAGGGTCATGGTTGACCCTGCCCCAGATGTACCTCCTTAAATTGGGACACAGGTAAAGGAGAAATTTCGTTTTCCATTAGCTTATCTCAGAGCTCCGGCTTCAGAAAACTCAAGGTTCTCCTGTCAGTCGGCGGCTGGACATACTCCCAAGACGGGCACTTCTCTTTCATCACCAACCCAACTCTACGCGCAACATTTGTCATTAGCGCTATCCGTTTGATCAAAGACCATGGACTTGATGGGATGTACGTCGTTCGCTCTTGTGCTCGGATCTGTTTGCGGTTTGACTTTGCTACCATCGTAGTGACCTCGACTTTGAATATCCAAGTGGCTCCGAACAAGGTCGCGGATTTGCAAATCTTTTAACAGAAATGCGCACGGCGTTGGACACGCTCGCAAGGGGCAACGGAGACGTTGTCCCTTATCAGCTTACCGTGGGCTTTTCTCGTATTATATCACGGGTCTCTTCTCAATCAAGGCTTCCTCTAAAGGCGGCTGTCCCCGCTCGCCCCGACAAGCACGCTAGCCTGCCTGTAGCACAAATGGACGCCGCTCTGACCTATTGGAACTTGATGGTACGAAACGTCGAATTCCTTTTCTTACCCGTGGGCTGATCCGCACTTCAATTCAGGCATATGACTACACAGGTTCTTGGTCATCCTGGGTAGGTATCACCTTTAATATATGGTAATCGCTGAACACTATCACTCGCAGGCTGACAATCAAGCCAATCTTTATGGCGGCGCCCGCACAAACGTTAGTACCGATCGCGCGATTAAATGGTATCTCTCGCAGGGTGCGACGGCTTCGAAGATCAACATGGGTGAAACATGCCATAGTTTCAAGTAGTCGTTCAATGTCCTCTGATTTCTCGTTCAAATAGGTATTCCACTCTACGGGCGTGCATTTAGCAACACCGCTGGTCTCGGCCAGCCATACGACGGGGTATACCACCGTGCTTTCCGAGATCTCCACGCCTTTTTTGGTGACACTTCTGGTATCACAGGTTGGCCCGGGAACCTTCGAGGCGGGCATCTACTCCTATTCTGTTCTGCCGCTTTACGGTGCCCAGGTGTTCGAGAATACCACAGACGTGACCAGCTATTCGTACAACGCCAGGAAGAGAGAGCTCATATCATATGATACACCTCACATTGTCGCTCTAAAGGCTCACTATGTTCAAGCGAGAGGCCTCGCGGGATCCATGTTCTGGGATGTAAGCCCCTCAAATTTGAGATGAGAGAGACTGCTGAATCTCTGGGCGAAGTTGTCTACGGATAAGATAGGATCTGCTTCACTTGTTGGTACTACCGCTGGGGTGTATGGGGCCCTTGACCAGACACCTGTACGTCGTCCTTGTTGTTCTCATCAGGAATCTGATCTCCTCTTCAAACTAGAATCATATACAGTTAAGGGCTGCAGATATCACCTCTTTGACCTGGCTGCGCATGACTGACAGCTGCGCAGCTATCCTAACAGTAAGGTAGTTCAGGTTCACTCCCGACCCTATCACGTGATTAAAACACGCCAAAATCATGACAATTTCACTGTTTTCCTAATTACTGCTCTAGATATCCTTCTGTGCCAAAAGTAAAACCTAAGATCACTGTATATTTGTATTTCCAACAGATCATAGGTTACCGGTCAGTCAATTTCGAAGGAGGAAGAAAGTTATTAGCATTTGTTGAAGCCAATTACCAGCTGTTTGATGTACAAGCGCCCAAGTTTGTGTGTCAGACATGGGACACGTGATAGGGTCGGGAATGAACCTGAGCTACCTTAAATGGGACAGGGGGCTCCTTGAACCGCTACCATCACCCTGGTGCGGGATTCCCACGAACCGTGGCAAGGAAAAACACACCATTTACCTCGCCCCCCAAACATACACCCTAAAACATAACAAAATGAAACCACACCAAATGATTAGAATTCAGTGAGCCCATAAGAACAGTAGACAGATCCACGGAATAGACAAGAACAGAAAGCCCACCCTAAGTAAAGGTAGACGACCCAACCCAGTAACGAAGACAACACATCGACATTAAAACAACCCCTACACACACCACACACTCAACCCCCTCAACACAATCAGCCATAACTGTGTGATGCACTGAACCGTCGAACACTGAAGCTACTGAATCCCCCCCAAATGAACCAACAGCCTCCCACAAAAAATGCCCAGGAACGCAAACCAACCAAAGCCAACGGCCAACTACAACAATAAGACCAAATACAATAAAACATTTACAAAGCAAAGCTTGTCACAAGAACATGCTGCCGACCGCGCTGACCGGCTGACCGCTGATGGCGCTGACCAGCCTGACTGGGACCGGCTCTAGAGCCTAGAGGCCTAGAGGTGCATACAGCGCCCCTCTTGCATAAATATACAATCCAATGAGGCCCACACACCACAAACTCCTGTCACAGACCTATCCCCCGATGCACAACACCCACTCGCCCCAAGACAGACCAATAACCAAGCGACTCGGCCCCCAGCCAGAACACAGTAACGCGGTAATTATGCCACCCCTGTCCAAAATAGAAGAGGCCGAAAAGAGACCAAAGTGAGAGCGAAGCATGCATGACCCAAGTGGGACAAAACACCGCCGATGCTCACCAATAAGCCAACACACACCTCAAGGCCCTCAACGCCCTACACAAAACAATGAAACGTCACATAACCATCAAACCAAGTATACAAATATACAAACCCTAGCACAAGCTGTAAGAACCAACTAACAAAATATGAGACATGACACGCGCGACACGCAAAAACCGACCCCGCACCGACAACCCGACACCTGAGCAACCCAAACCAAGCACGAACATGATGACAACACATACACAAGCTGATACAAGACACCTGAGAACCACTCGAAACACCAACGAGCTGGATCCCTCATCGTGAGGTTTTAGTGGGTAGGAGTCCATCTCGGATGTTCTGAGTCCCACACTGCCCCCCCACCCCGGGGCGTGCGTAAATGCATTTCTTTCCTCACACCGGACCCCGCGCGGTCTGGCTACAACGCGCTGGCAAGAGCTGATGCCATCACCTACTACCAGCACTGAACCCACCCGTAGATACATTAGTCTTAGCTTCTGTATCTAATACGGGATAAATAAAGGGTACAAGCGTTATCAAAAAAAAAAAATACCTTAAATGGGACAACATTCGCAACAATATGGGTCAAGGTACCTCTTTGGGTACAACAAATGCATCTAGCTCCAAGCCGATGCATACATCTCGTTCTCAAAACCCAGAGATTTGTGTAGACGTGGCAGAGTGGAGCCTCTCAGTACGCCCAAGCCCAGAGGATGTCACTCGTGTCATGACTTTCCCAACTAGGTTGTCTACCAAGACGGCCAAAAGGCCACAAATCGTAATCATCATCCCGTATCGTGTTTAGAAACCTGTAATCTGAAATGGCCTGCAGACGCTCATTTATGGATTGCCAGAGGATGGACACAGGGAGACGTTCCAGGCGGTCCTGGTGAGTTTTGTGTGTAAATAAGGATCATGAATATACCCGTTAATTGGGCATGTAGCCGAAGTTTGGGAAGACAATGGGCCGTGCTGAAGAGCTCACATACAAGAAAAGCGAGACTTCACCATACAGAAACTTGTTGCTCGTTCGTCTTACTTCTCTAGTTTTGACACTTACCCCTATTTTGTTTTCATTGTATGTCCTTTCTGCGTATCTGCTGTCATGTATTTTGCGTTCAAGTCCA